GGGGGAGTATAATGTTAGTGCATGCTTCCCTATTTCTGGCCACAGCATCCCAGGTTGCTAAGAGCCGGGCGGTGAGAGATGTAAGGGCCTTACAATTCTCTCTGCCCAGCTCTTAGCAACCTGGGACGCTCTTGCTGTCGTCCTGCCGAGCTCCTGCCAGCCAATGACATCTCTGGTTGCCAGGAGCTCAGAGGGACGTCCCCCCACCACTTCAGGGGGCAAAAAGCTAAGGATCCCCCTGCCTGCATCTATATGTAAACAGAGGGGCGGGATGCTTGTGCTGACATAATTTACCTTATATAGTCATATTAGGTAACTGTCATTTACCAAATATACTGTAGCCATATAAGGTCACTGCTTCCCACCCTTTAATAACATCAAGTTGCGAGCGTGGAATTCCCCACCTGCAGCTGATTGAGCAACGTAGAAAGAGCTTCCTTCTATATTCGGGAGGAGCTTCTTCCAGGTACAGAGGAGCTCAGGTCCAGACTGTCCTCCCACCCCCCTGTAACCCATCCTGCAAGGTTTTTTTTACCTTGCGATGCATGACATACGCACCCAAGTCTGCCATCCAGGTCCCTCCCTTGGGCGTGAGGGTCAACCAATCCTGCAGATGTGAGCACGATGGCCAGTCCCTGACAGTCTCCTCGTGCTAACGTCATTTCTCATCTGAACCATGAGAGGACTCTGGAGAGCCAATAGGAAGTGTCCATGTCACACAAACAGTGATGACACTCCTCATGAAAACAAAGGAGGAGAGAAGACTAGGGACTGAAGTGCCACATGACCATGTCTTTAGGAAGTAAATTAAACAAAAGCGATGACTTAGTGATGTAGTTTATTGTCACAATTTACATGTAAAAGCCAACATGCTTCAGGGGTTCTAAGTTCCCCTTCATCAGGGCATAGGAATATTGTGCTGAGGAGTCTGGATGAAGGATTGGTATCATAGGGGTAAAATGTTTATAGCAAGTGTAGTATCAGCTTAAAATGTAACCCCCAAAATACCAATCCTCAGTCCTGGCTCCCCACCACAATATTCTTATGTCCTGATGAAGGGTGGTTCCTAAACCCTCCAAAATGGGTTGGATTTTACATGTAACTGGTGACTAATAAACCACCTTTGGACTATCCAAATAGTTTTGGCACTTTTTGATCCGCAACTTTTGCAGTATTTGTTCCTGAAGAACTTAGCATGGCATCTCTGAGAGCTTCCGGCCACAAAAGGTCTCTATAATAATCATCAGAATTCCCATCTACACGAGGGGTCCAATGGTCCACCATTGGAGAGTTGTTGCAATCCAAGTGACCACTGTCCATTCAGAGAGTTTTATCCTCATTTCTTGGGCATCAGGACAGGAAGTCAGGGGAGATCTCCCACAGCATGGACAAAGGTTGCAGTGGTTCGGACCCTTCCCAACCCTACCCATAAAACAAAGGAAAAGAGTTTTAGTAATCTATAGAACAGCGCCGTGCTTTGTATATTTGGGTGTTGTTGAGTTTCCCTATTACAGGTCCCGGCAAGCTGGTTTTACATCTACAAATATTTTTGGTGATGTAATACTTTCTGAAAGTATTGGTAGAGGTATTACCCGGATGTACCCCCAAATCTCCCTTTTCCACCCCAAGCATTGTTTTTTTTTTCCTTTACCTTGTTGCTGTTACTCCCTGGAACATCATTACCAGACAAACATTGATGCAGGGGCTTACAGTGTGCAGGTGGACCTTTAAGAGTCATGGCAGCAGCATCATGTTGCTGGGAAAGGAATGAATCTATGCATGTGGATAGAGGCAGAGGACGGGGAGAAGTGGGGCTCTGTAGTACAGCAAGCAGGGTGGAAAACATTGCTGGGGATTACAGTGTAGCAGCGGCAGAGCTGTCAGATCACTAGATTTCCAGCAGGTTTTGTAATCTGTACATGACGTGTTCTTCAAGAATGAAAACATTGGGGAATGTCCATGTATTGCCCTCATGTATTGCATATGTTTTCATTTGGCTTGGACATACACTTTAAATTACAATTCAGAGGTGTTCAGTATGTTTTATTCTGTCTCTAGTACTTGCCCACCTACCCAGTGAGATGTTGTACTTGCTGAGGTTAGTCTGAAAGCTCTCTGCCTGGCTGTAGTAAGATTCCAGGGTTTCCACGTAGTCTCTAACTCCTAGCGGCAGGATGAGGCTGTCCGAGAGTCTCAATAGAACATTCCCAGCTGTGCGGGCCACCGTCTGATGACTGGTAAAACCTACAAAACAGTGAGGAACACAAGATGGCCGACCTTCATTTTGCTGCAGTATTATGGAGCCAACATCATCATACTCATAAGGGTTGAATTACTAAAGGCAAAGAGGATGGTCACTGTGCACGGGAGTTTTCCATCAGCTTTGTGAATGTGGGGAAGCTCTGTTGACTTCCATCATCCAATCATGTGCAAGCAAAATTACTCTTTTTTTTTTGTTATTTTCCTTGAGCAGGATTAGGTATTCTTTGGAAAGTGAATTTTCACCACATTCACTAAGTTTAGAAGTTAAGAGAAAATCCTAATTGGAAAATGAACAGTCTAGTAACTCAATCCCATGGCATCTTCAATAATACCAAGTATATATATATATATATAGATATATATATATTCAGACACAACCTTTGTGATCTCAACCTCTCTAAGCACTGTTTGTAATCCCCCAGTAACATGGTATGTTTAAAATGTTTCATATCATAAGGTAGAAAGAAAGCCAGTTTTATAACCAGAATGAACTATTATAAACAATTTGCAAAGCCATTCGGCCTGCAAATCTCTGTGAATGTTTGTTCTGTGTGAACAGAGGCAAAAACAAAAAACTTTCTTAGAATATTATCTTTTTAGGTTGAATGTAATATAATGTAATGCTTCATTATGGCCACTAGATGTCACGGAGGAGCATAGAAAATAAGTACTCCTTTCCTATGCAACTCAGCTCCATCTGATGGCCATGATGTTACATAGTATTTGAGGTTGAATAAAGACATTAGTCCATCAAGTCCAACCTATTAGGATCTCGTTCTAGGAGTACCCGTACCCCTGTATATTACCAGTACCCCTGTCTATTACGGTCCCTTAAGAAATCGTCCAAAAGTTCCTTGAACCGTACCGCATTCTTTGCTGAAATCACCGACTGTGGCAGTGAGTTCCAGACCCTAACTGATCTAATATATGTGGTATTACATTCGACCTAAAAAAGAAAGTATACTAAGAAAATGTGTTTTTCCTTCTATTCGCACAGAACAAATGTTCAGAGATTCAGAGGGCGAATGGCTCTATAATTTAGAAAAAACTGAGGCATGCTGGGAGTGGGAGGGGTAATGCTAGGACACTAGTAAGAAACAGAGGCATGCTGGGATTGCAAGAGGTTAGACCAGGCTAGGACACTAGCAAACAACAGAGGCATGTTGGGAGTGGGAGGGGTTACACCTGGCTTGAGCACTAGTAAAAAAAACTGAGGCATGCTGGGAGTGGAAGGGGTTAGACCAGGCTAGGACACTAGCAAACAGGTGAGGCATGTTGGGAATGGGAGGGGTTATATGGGGCTAGGACACCAGAAAAAAACAAGGCATGTTGGGAGTGGGAGGCATTTATACCAGGCTAGGACACTAGCAAACAGGTGAGGCATGCCAGGGGTACTAGGGGGTTATTCCAGACTAGGACACTAGCAAAAACAAGAATGGAAGGCATTTATACCAGGCTAGGACACTAGCAAAAAAACTGAGGTATGCTGGCAGTGGGAGGTGTTGTACCAGGCAAGGACACCAGTAAAAATAGAGGCAGGGATTATACCAGGCAAGGATGCTAAAAAAAATTGAGGCATGCTAGGAGTGGGAGGGGCCATGCTAGTCTAGGACACTAGCATAGAACTGTGGCATGCTGGGAGTTGGAGGGGTTATACCAGGTTGGTCACTTGTTTGCCATTGTAGAAATACTCCTGTAGGTGGCAGAATAACCATTTGTCACTAAATCCTGTGTCCCTCAATGAACAAAAAAAGAAAAAAAAGTTTAGGCTTTAAAACTTACAAAGTCACCTCTTCAGATAAATATATGATCTGCTACATAAAATATTTGTATGGATTTGCATTTGGAATTATGTTTTTTTTTTAACACCCACTTGATAGCAGAAGGGACCAGCAATACTTTTGAGACATTGATAAATGAATCTCGGTAGGTCTCCATGTAAGCAGCTGGCGTCTGTCTGAAATAGCAGGTATATCCAGCATGGTGTGCTGTGCTCGGACCTTTCGGAGGTATTATATTTATGACACAGCTATAATGTATATACCACTGTCTGTATTACCTGGATCAATATGTTTAGCAGTATAATCAAATGTGTCAAACGCTGTATGGTAGGTGGGATATATACGAGCTGATGTCACTCTCTGTAGAGGTAAAAGAAAAGAAACAAAATGAGAGCCTGACCTACTAAACAAATGGTGGGCATTGCGACATTCTTCTGAAAGGGACACTATTATGCAACCAATGATAATATACTGTATGTCTAGTATATACATTGTGCAGAGTTCGCTTTATTATAGCTCTACTCCTTTGGGAAACAAGCTATCTTCAGGGCTGCTGAAGAACATTAAGGACCCATTCATACTTAAGCGATCTGTACAGTAATGTGTTTGAGCTCACTGTTATCCTTGCTGGAGAGGAAGCTGCACCTGAGGACCTGCAGTGTAAGGATCTCCCTGCTTATGCTTCATTCATTCTGTGGATCTGAGCTTTCTACACCTCCCCTGCTGCTTCTTAATCATTACCCCACCAGTCATCAGATCTCCACTCATCAGGGGGAAGCTCTGACTTGGGAAAGTAAAGCCATGCCTCTACCAAAATGGCCTCCTCTACAGAGAGACACAGTGCAGAACAAGGCATGGTAAGGCAGTAACAGGGAACGGATCAGCTGCGAGGAGACCACAGGCAATACTGGAGACCAATCCTTTGCCCACTGCTTGCTTTTTGTGGACAGCTTCCATGGTGCAGGTCCTCCTCAAAGTTTTGTACACTTTCCTCTCCTGATCGTTATATATCAAAGTCTATGCTGTTTGGGCCGACACGTACTGATGTACAAAAATCTAAAAGTCTTGGCACTCTGGAGAGCCCATTACACACCCAGTGACATTGACCATACATCATTAACTATCCAACAGATTGTGGAGTCCCCATTGTAGGGGCTCAACTCATGGCCATTGGTGTCCACTGGGAGGAACAGTGCTAATGCACAAATCCCGGCACATTGTGTTGCTTACTTTTTTTGTAAGAAATGTCACCTTTTATTAAGCTCCATCGGCCATTGCATGGTGCAATGCAGTTGAACTGCCAACGTCATACCATGATTCACTGGAAAAAAAACCTACTGTACATGCAGGAGGTTTTTTGCATGCCACCGCAACACAGTACCAATGAAAAACAAGGCAGATCACCTTATCTTTGTGCTGGGAATGCACTGGGCAAGGTTGCCTGAAAAACCCTGAAGCACCTGGTGTGAATGGGTCCTTCTTTTATTCTGTAACTTAACATCAACACAAGAACTGCAAAACCTGTGAAGAAGTGAATTTACCGTGTCATACGTGTATGCTATGTCCATGCATGTAATTCCCAGGTAGTGCATAAAGGGAGCATAATCACTTCCAATTCCCAGCGTTCCAATTCTGCAAAGAACAAAAGATGCAGGTATGAGTGACAGGATTAACTCAAACAGGCTCAGACCATAAGTTCAAAGTGTAGTGACCAACAGGAAATCATTATTATTATTATAGACAGCGGTCCCCAATCGTTCTGGTACCAGGGACAGGTTTTGTGGAAGAAAATGTTTCCACGGACTGGGAGGGGGGTGTGGTTTTGGGATGATTCAAGTGAATTTATTGTGCACTTTATTTCTATTATTATTATTACATTGTAATATACAATGAAATAATTATACAACTCACCATAATGCAGAATTATTGGGAGCCCTGAGCTTGTTTTTCTGCTCTCAGGTGGCCATTGCGGGCTCTCAGGTGGCGAGTGCGGGCTTTTAGGTGGTCAGTGGGGCTCTCAGGTGGCCAGTGCGGGATCTCTGGTGGCCAGTGCGGTCTTTCAGGTGGTCAGTGGAGCTCTCAGGTGGCCAGTGCGGGCTCCCACCAGGGGTCCGGACCGTTTCACTGGTGGCTGTGGGCGCAGCAGATGCAGCTCTAATCAGATAGCCACTCGCTCCTCACTAGGGCCCAGAGAGGCTCCAGCGAGTAGCCTTGTAATATACCTGTTTAGAGTGCTGCCTCTGCCTGATTGTAGTTGGCCTGGATTGCCATCAGGTATACCGAGGCAATCTGGGCCGGCCAGGCTTATTTGCAGGGGCGGGCCTAGAATGGGAGCTCCACGCGCCCCTATGTTAATCCGGACCTGGCCAAGGAGTTCCTAACAGGTCACAAACCGGTACTGGTCTGCCGCCCAGGGGTTGGGAACCCCTGATTAGCACCCCTGGATCTTATAGCGTGTGAAAACTTCAAGGAATGTAAAAAAGAGCACTTACCGAGGAATGACGCCATGCTGCGGGCTGGTGCGATTAGAGTGACTCCTCCAGTTTTCATACACGGTGAGGGAATTTGATGGATTTTTCACCTGTATATATAAAGTTAAACATGTTAAAACTGTAATAGCTTTGACTCTCCTGTAATTCCAAAGAAAATAGAAAGTTGCCTTCAGATACGGCCGTGTGGGCTTTCTGACATTTTCTTTAAAAGTTCACTCCAGTAAGAACTGAAAATGAAGCCTTGGCATGTATACAAAGCCAATCTATTAAGGGCTTCACGTTTGCTAAAGTCTTCCAGTCCACCACTGTTGCCTATATTTTATTAATCTGGTGATCTGGGAACCCCCATTTCCCTACAAGTTTGCAACGCTGCCAACTGTCCCTTATTTGGAAAGACCGTCCCTCTTTGGTAATCAAATCCCTCTGCCCCTCTTTCCTCTTCAGTTGTTCTTGTTTTGGTCTAATGTATAGACCACTATAAAACAAATGTCTTATTTAGCTGTCAAAAGTATTATACTATCAAAAGTGTTATACCACACTAAGGGGTCTATTTATAACCAGTACACATAGCCATTTAATCTATGAATCTTCCTCAACATTTGTTATGTTCAAACAGTGGCAAAAACTAATGTTCTTAGTAGGGCTGGTAATGATTAACATTTTCGTGTTCGATTAATCGAAAACATTTTTTATCGATTAATTTCGATTAATTATAACGCACATACAGATCCAACTACATTGGCCTATACACATACAGCACAGCAATGAAGTAATAAAATGAACTAGGATCACCCTAATTCAGCACGTTATTAATCTCACGTGCCCCACTCAATATGGCCGCCGCTTGAGTGGGGCAACTCAGAATAATAACGTGCTGGATTAGTGTGATCCTAGTTCATTTTATTACTTCATTGCTGTGCTGTATGTGTATAGGCCAATGCCTTGGCTGGCGCTCGTGCAGAAAGTTTCTCGGGCAAACTCACCGGCCCAAGTGGCTCCGTCGGCTAATGAAGGGGGGAGGAGTCCGGTGGCATTACGGACATTGACGTCACCGGACTCCTCCCCCTTCCCTTTGTTAGCTCCGGAGCCACTTGGGGAAGGGGGGAGGAGTCGGGTGATGTCGATGTCCGTGACGTCACCGGATCGCTGACGGGACTCCCGGAAGCCGGCGGAGAGGTGAGTTTTTTCATTAGCGATCAAAATAATTTTAATCGATCAAAAAGTTTAACGATTAATCGAGAAATTAATCTTTAATTTCCACAGCCCTAGTTCTTAGGTATATTTCCTTTTCAGGTCAAATGTATATAATGTAATACTGCACATGACCGCTAAATGGAGCTGAGGAGCACACGAAATAGAAATGCCAACTCCAGCCAATGTAAAAAACGTGACACCAAAGCTCTGTGCAGCAAGGAAATGCTTCCTGTCAAAGCAGAAATAGAGGAGAAATCTCTTCTGTGGGGAAAAAGGCAGACATTTAATTTTCGGGTGAAGGTGGTTTTTAAGTTGATAAAAGTTACCTGTTTGGATGCAGCGAAAACAACATTTTGTGCAGGAGGTGTTCCCAGGACCCTCAAAGTTGCATTGGCTAAAGAGAAGAAAGGAGACTTACCAATGCATTAAAAAGGAAGTTATCATTTATTCTGATCTGTATGAAGAAGGCAATTTTGCTGACATTGCAACAGGACAAGCAAGCAATAAACGGTGCATGAGAAACTACACTGCTGCTCATTGTTCAGAGATTTTCAATGGCATATGACACATGAAAACTGCACATTCCTGTAACTGAAAGTTAATTTGATTGAATAAAAGTTACAAGCCAAGTGGAAATTCTGTCTCGGCTGGACTATGAAGTTTATGCCCCTTGAAGCAGCTTAATCACAGGGGGAATCTGGCCCCTGAGCCTGTGGGGAGGCTCTGGAAGAAGACACGTGTTTGAATGAGTGAGAAGGCTCTGAGAGGGGAAGCTGAGATAGTAGAGGAAGGACATATGTACCGTATTTTTCGCTCCATAAGACGCACTTTTTTTCCCCCAAAAGGAGGGGGAAAATGTGCCTGCGTATTTGGTTCTGGAAGGAGTAGCTGAGGTGCTACAGAAGATACATGTGTGAGTCTACGAGACATCTTCCGAAAGGAAGAACCAAGTCTCTAAAGAAAGACATGCATGTGAGGCTGTGGGAAGGCTCTCGGAGGAAAAGATGAGGTACCCATGGAAGCAGTGGCGTAACAACCGGGGGGGCGGCCGGTGTGTCTGCTCCGGGCGTTAAAGATACATGTGTGAGTCTGTGGAAAGACTCTGGAAGAAAGCATTAAAGTTCTAGAGGAAAACACATTATTATTATTATTATACAGGATTTATATAGCGCCAACAGTTTGCGCAGCGCTTCACAATATAAGGAAGACATTACAATTACAACTCAAGACAAGATGGTAAGGAGGGCCCTGGCCCTGAGGGCTTACAATCTAAAGGGAGGGGCAAGTGATACATGAGGTGGTAGCTGTGAGGGGTGAATTGTTTGAGAATGTGATAGTTCAGTGGTTAGGTTGAGGTGGGATAACACATGTGAGTGTGTGGGGAAAGTCTGGTTGGAAGATGTTTAGTCCAATTTGTATTGAGATTGTAGTCCATCCCAGGAGCGAGGTTGGAGCGGTGACTACTTTACAACACACACAGGGACCATGGAGAACAAAAGTAGCCCCCCTCCAGAAGGAAGGACAGTGTCAGCACCAATGCAGAGATCTACAGCCGAGTGATACACAAATAAGATACATTTTTGTTAAAAGTGAACTATGGGGTATGGTTTTTTCCCATTATTCTCTTAGGATCACAGGAGGACATATACTAACTTCCTCCGTGACCCAAAGCTCAGTATATAGCAGGCTGCTGTCGAGATCCACCCAGCTGTGTGAGTGACAGCTGGCTCTGCCTGTTTAGAGGCAGAGCCAGCTGTGCCCGCCCCCTTCCCGTCCGTTCCTTCACTCAGCGCTGGAGGATCGGAGAGGGGGTAATCCCTGACTGACAGTCACCGCTCACTGCAGGGAGACGACCGAGAAGTGAGTGGATGGGCGGCATGTTTCTGCTCACTTCCCGATCGATAGAGCCGACCGGGCTTGTGGTGGAAATCACTCACCTCATAGATCTCCTTTAATAGTTAAGGGACTTGAATGCATTTTGAAGATTTAACTCCTGAGTTTAGTGTCACTTTAAGAGAAGCTCAATCTATACAAGTTATGTTTGTGTAGCCCCTATAGATATATGTGTTCATGTGTATATGTGCGATCACAGTGATTCATGTTCCTGACTGTGAATAGTTAATGGCCTCTGTGTGCCCTGGAGGTGGAGATTTATGGGAGTTGGAGTGCAGAGCAGAGACTGGGATTGTGCAAGAGTGATCTCTGAAACTACAGCTCCCAGGAGGCTATGCAGGAGAAAGGAGGAGACTTAAGTGTGGTGGCTGCTGGGCGCGCTCAGTCTGGGACAACCATCTGAAGAGGATAGACCTGTGCAGCCATGGGTGGACTAAGACTGTGAGAGACAGAGCTGTGTGGTTACCGCTGATATACAGGGACACACCGGCTCTGTGCAGCGGTGTACAGAGAGACTGACGCTGAATCGGAAGGGACCCGATCGAGTGTCTGAGGGGGGTCCGGTGACCGCAAAGGACGAGGAGGCCTAGTTGCGTGGCCGAACCAGCCGCCGGAGTAATCCAGCCGCCCAGCTGAGAGAGGAGCCAGACGGAGCCAACCGAGATGACTGCAAACATCCTGGATGACTGAAGACTTTCTATCAAGGACCCAGACGACTTCCCCTACGGAGCCTGAGCTGCAGAGGGATAGAGGACCTCCAGCATCTGCTATCAGTTTCATCTGTTTCAACTGACCTGAGGATTGGTGAGAGGCATCTGGCCACATTGAAAACCTATTTGCTGTTCATACCTGCACCACAGTAAGGGCCCCAACGCCGGCTAGCTCAGGACATTACTACTGGCCAGTAGTCTAGGAAGGGTTGGGCATTGCTAAAGGGAAATCTTAAAGGGGCATACACCTCATTACAGAGAGAACATTTAAAGACAATTGGCCTCACATACATCCGTGCTGACAGCAGATAGTTGCAGTTACTGAGTTGCGGAGTGCCTCAGCTTGTTGCTACACATTATTGTTGGGTATTGTTGTCATTTTTACTGTATCAAAGTCATTCATATCTGATTTGTCAGTAAATTTGTTATAAAACTGTTCCAAGGTGTGTTGGTGTGCTGTGGATCCACGGTTTGGGCGGTACATTGGTG